TGCTTGCCTTGAAGTCCTCTGTTGGCAAAAGTGATGTGCAATGCATGTTGCCTTTAAATAATAAAATAAAGATCTATATAATGGCAGCACTTAACTCTTCATTTGAAGATGCACTTCATTTAAAGGATTTTATTCAGTGATTTTAGAAGTACAGGCAGGCCACAGCTAAGAAAACAGCTGTACAAAAAAAAAAACCCCGAAGTGTATATATTTTGTATAAATAAGGAATGTAAGCTTTAATCTTCAGGAGAGATGTGTGTCATGGGCAGATGAGCAAGCACCTGCTATGTTTCAAGTTGCTTACACATCTGTAACTCCCCCTAGGCATTGGACTGTCTTGTCTTGCAAAATCCATCTCCTTTGCACAACAGCAGAGTTGCTTACCATAGTTTTATTGCTTTTATTGTTCAGGGTGATCTCCTGTAGAGACAGGAGTCAAAACTTGGGATGGTGTTGAAGCACACAGGCAGCTTGCGTCGGAGCCACCCGTAGCCTGATGAACAGGGCAGCTGAAACAGAGACATCAGGCAGATCAATGCAGTCTGTATCTTATGTGAGACTGCCATAGAGATAATCCTGAGAAACTGAGACCATTTCTTCTTTGCGTGCTGCTCGCTTCTCTGGGAACCAAACTGTTCGCCGCGTGCTCAGTGGCGTCTTCGGGTAGAAGGCGGGAGGGCTCTGCTTGCCACTGAAAGGTGAGCAGAGTCTGCACCGCGGCTGACCAGTGAGTCCCCCTGACCTAGCAAGCACATCCTTCCCAGGCTGAGGAGGGTCAGTGGTAGAGCGCATACTGCCCAGAGCGTCCTGCCAGCTGGCCGTTACCACGCATGAAACGGAGTTGGCCTCTTCCCCTCTGATCTTTGTTATCTTGCTGTGGAGAAAAGGAAAGCCGTAGGAGGAGCCTGAGCCACAGGGACACAACTCTAGGTGGCTGCTAAGGACTTTTCCCTCAAGGCTGAGAAGGAGCCCTGAGTCTGCACTGCCTTATACTCAGGTATTTTTGTGTATCCGTGGAAAGGTTTGTAAACAGCACTGAAAAGCTGGAAGGGACCAGTTAGGTAAGAGGCACTTCAGAGGAAGACTCAGATTTGCATTCCCTCCTACCTATTTGTTCACAGACCCCATAGATCTCATGTTTATCTTTTTTCCAGCTTGGGTCTAGCTGATGGAAGAAGTTTCAGTCTACCCTAGTGGTTAAGAAATTCTTCTGGGCAATGGCAGCAGAGAGCTGGGAAGCAAAGACCTTGCAGTTTCTGAGAAGTCCTCTAGCCGCTGGTATATTTGATCCTGCCTTTCCTCCTTCGTTAGTCAGCTGCCATTGTTAGCCATGAGCATTCTGTGTCTTGGGAAGACACAGGTGGCCCTGGTATGTCCTAGTTAGCTGTTTTTTGGACACGTCTGTGTGCTCTAAATGACTCTCCACTCGGCCTCGGGAACACTAAATCATCCTATAAGCGTCTTGTACAGTAAATGGAAAGTGACTGATGCCTTCCGTGGAGCCTCTGAATTGTCCTTAGGAGGCACTTACGGATTTTGGCACCCAGCATAAAACGGTGAAATTTCTGTTTGGGTGTTATCAAAATCCTGGTGAATTAGAGCTATGAGAAAGCCTCACTGTTAAGCCCACCTGTGTTGTACAGGACTTGAGATATCAAGGGCTTTGTCCTGCGTGCTACTGTGTGTGGATGAAGACCAATTTCTTGGGTAATGGCTCCGTACATAAATCTTCTGTTGAAGAAGAAGCAGAAAACAGTTTCGTCTCTTCTACGAACAGCTTCTTTTTAACATATCTGTGACCTCACATAGTTATTTCATGTGTTTAAATGCATGGCTTTCAGAAGAAAGCCTCGGTGTTGCGTGTTTGAGTTCTGTCTTGAGGAAATTATGCATTCAGCTGCAGTTGGCTGGTTCCCACAGCTCCGGTCACGCATTTTTAAGCGTCTCAGTGACTTGAGGATCCACATGCACGAGTCATTTTCATATTTAAAAAAAAAAATCTTATTCTCAATCAGTAAAATAAAAAGAAAATGTAAAAGCCAGAGTATGTCTGTGCAGCAGCCAGCAGTAATAAGCATACTGTACAAACTGACAAGGAGCAGAAAATATTTATTTATTGTGATTTTTGTACAAGGCTCCACTGTGGAAAGCTGTGGCTAGAGCAACTTACTGGAGGTTTGGTATGGATCCTGCCAGAAAGCGCTCCTCTCTGCAGTGTGCAGAAGTATACGCTACGGAGTCTCAGATGGTTCTTGTGGCGCTGGCTCTACAAGAGCAGAGGAGTATGGACTGAGTAACGTATGGACACTGGGCTTCCCAGCTTTAGCCAGTATCTCCTTCATCCAGAGCAGAAGTCATCTGAGCAGCTCCTTAAAAAAAACCATCATTTTGGCTCAGGTGAGGTTCCAAAGGACCAACTTCTCTGTGGAATAATTTTATGTGAGAACTTCATGGTGACCGCAGTACATGTTTTACCTCCGCATTTCCACTGGATTCAATGGAGCTTGGCCTCACACAGAAGCCTGTGCATCTGGTGGTGCTGAACAATGAGGAAATCTTACTGATTGTGCAACAAATGCACTTTTAGAAACTAGATTCTACCTTTGTGTTTTTATATAATTGCTACACTTTTTAAACTTTCCTTGGCTATTTGATGGCTAAGTTGATAAGTATTTATAAACTCAGAAACAGTTTTGAATATGAAACAATTAGGATTATTTCTAGCTATCTTATTTATCTTTGTTGATTGTTATGACATTCGGTGGGTTATATTTAATTTTCTGTGCGTGGGTGCTTCAACTTTCTAAGCTTTACTTGACATGTTCTTTCAAATTCATTACTCTTGAATTTGAATGCTGTATTACAATTTCTAAGAATATTTATTGGCTGAGGGCAGATAAGTGGAAGCTTTGCAAGGAATTAGAAAAACTTACCTAAGAGTGTTGTTCTATTTTGTTTCTTACCAAGGTTTTGTGTAATGCTAGATGAAGGTCAGTCATTACCTTCATCATGTAACAGCTGCATGCATTTTCTTACTTCAGCCTCTATGAGAGGACTCAGTGGGGAACCATTGTACGAAAGAAAGGAATACTTGATTGTTTAAGAGATTAATTCAGTTCACTCGCATCAGCTGAAAGAGCCATGTACACAAATGTTTCACGTATTCCACAGTATGTTTTTACCTCCACCACTTCTTTTACTGTAGAATACCGTGTTGATAAAAATGTTTAATTTGGGGGGAGCTTGCTGAAAACATGAAATCTCTAACAATGCTAGCCTTGCATTGCTCTTGTGTTAACAAATGACCTATTTATTAAAATAATCGTTTCAGAACTTGGAGGTGTTTTCTTCTTTTATGGCTTTTCCTGATTTTATCTTAGTATTGAAGTATTATTTTGCCCAAGAAATAGAGCAGATAGAGCTGCTCTTAATTAAAAATGAATATACAGCTTAAAGCCTTAGGTCATTTCATTTTGGGGGGAAGAAGGGAGGAGAGTCACACATTTCAGGGTGCAATTAACACTGTGATTCTGTATCATTAAGAAAAAGGCACAATTTCCAAAGAGCAATGAGACCAAGCTGTCCTTACAAAAAGGCACTGACTTAAAGTGCCTTATGAGGAATTAACTGTAAAGAAACATTATCATCATGGTTTGGGGGGTTGTTTATTTTTTTTTTTTTTACTGAAGATGGTAATTTTTATAAATTTTACACCATATATATTTTTAAAAAATAAAAAGAAGTGTTAAGTGCCTAGGTTCATATTTATATATGTTTCCAAATATTGAAATACACATCCCTAAACTAATAGGCAGATTGTTATAATAAAAATTATGCAAACAGTATCATTACCGTCAGAACTGCAGTACAGATTTCCCATGGCTATAGACATTGTGATGCTTCTTGTGCAGTCCAAAAACATGTTTGAATTTTCAGACCTAAAAATAGTATATATGAAGTGAGGCTTTTCTTAAGAAATCTGTTCAGTTACTTAACGATTGTCAACATGTATTAATACTAGTTGTTCAGATGAGTTAGGTGGCATTATTAGTGTAATTCTTAACATATTGTTAAGATCATGAACGCTGAAAAAAATCTGAAGTTATGCTTTCCTTTGACTCTACAGTTATAAACCAACAAAGCAACTTAATTTGGGTGTGCCTGTGAGATGACAGGGCTTTTTAAAACCTAAAAGTTTATTAAGATTTGTGGGACTGCAATTTTACTACTTCCTAACATTTTTCTTAGATAGTGGATGTGTAGTGTAAATAAACTGTAGTGATGTACAGTGAAAAATACCGATGTACATTCTTAAAGTGTAACCAGATTGTGTTTTGAATCTAGGAAACTAATAATGAGCATCTGTAAGGTCCCATTTTGCTCATGTTTATGCACGTTTCTATCTCTGTGAGAACAAGCAGCCTCACTGAACTGCCGAGGCTCCTGAACCGAGTATAGTAACTTATTTGCAAGATTGGTGCGTGCCTAGAAATGGTGCAAGTATATTTTGAATACTCTAAAGTAGGCCTGTGATGTTTATGTTCTGTGTACCAGTAACACTATGTAACAGAGCAATCTGCTGTTCCCATTTTGACGCTGTGTGTTATAAATCACTCCTGGGTAGTCCGAGGAAAACTACAGATTCTTATTGTAGAAGACTGTGTTTGCTGGTTATATTGTTGTAGCTACCTAACTTACAGGGTGTTCTTCCTTCAGAGACAGTGATTCAATTTTCTTTGGACGTTTCTTGTCTTTTGTGTAAAGTCCAGTGGCCTGGATTTTTTCTTAAAAAATAATTGCTGTTAAGTAGAAGGCCCATGCAGAAGGTTTTACTTCCTTAATCCAATGTAAGCTTTATTTTGTAACCAGATCAAATGGCTTTCAGAATTGAAAGTTAAGAATTTTCTAAGATGACAAGGAGATGTAGACATATAGTTTCCGCGGTAGGCAATGTAGGAAAATTCAGTCCAGTATTCTTTGTACACTGATGTCTGACCTTCATGATGTTCTTTAACCAGAATCCTTCCCAGCTGCAGCTCAAGGTAAAGGCTGGTGGCATTGTATGCTCCTGTAAGTGGAGGCTGGAGGTAAAATAAAGAGGCAATTCCAGACATTGTGGCCCAGAGCACAACGTTCAATACCTGATCCTCAGTTGGTAGTGAGCAACATTAAAAGCCTCAGTTTTGTCCTACTGTCAACATCGCTGAATAGGTTCTCTTAGTCAAGAAATTAATTTTGTTTAAGTTAGTTCTTCTTTAGTTGGGAGTGTAGGTGTTTTCCAACACTGATTTGTCCTTCTACCTCCCACGTCAGTACTATAGTAAGGTAGTTTGTTTATTTTGTAACCTTTCCAAATCCATAGATATATCTGTCGTGGAAGCTAAATTATATTCTAATCCTACGCTTATATCATCTTTGCCTTAGTTATTTTCACTTGTTTGGTGGCCTTGCCAATGTGGTTTTGGAAAGCAATAGGATACACAACTTTTTTCTTCATATAGTTGAAAGGTGTGCAACATTGGAGTAGCGTTTGCGTTAGACTTGGCATGAATGTCAAGATCAATGTGAAGATAACATTTAATATTTTATTATTTGTAGTGGCTTTCAAAAATCTTAGTTTCACAGTTTTCCCATCTGGCACTTTGATTTATTTCAACAATTTTGTATGGCTTTTAACTTTGGGGCAATATGGATTTATGTGTCTCGTCTTTGTATCTGTGTGATTTTCTAGTGCAAGGATTCCTTTCATGTTGTTCCAAAGTGTTCCATTCTGTTTGTTTATTTCTGGATTTTATATCTGTAATGCACTCTGATATTGGAAGAATACTTTCTAAATCATCAGTACACTAACCACTTGGTGTTTCTGAAGGATCGCATCAGCATTAAAAACCACTCTTCATAACATTCCCATCCGTAACTAAAATCGTATTTCCATCTGAATAACAGTAAAGCAGTGGGACACACAGCAAACTGACGTTAGATATTGCATGCTGAAGGTAGGAAAATGAGAGATTGTTCCCAGCCTTGGTGTTTGGTCCAGTAAGAAAGCAGGGAGTTGAAAGAACTTGAAAAATTGGGTACTTTGTAATTAAAGTATTAGTAAACAACATGCCTGGATTTCTAAAAAGCATGAAAATAAATGTGTGTACTTGAACAAACACATCTTTAAAATAACTTTCTCTTTTAACAATGCTTTCCTAACTCTTTTATTCACTTCTTTTAATCCCCTTCATCCTTTTCCATATAATATATGAAGGCTTTGTGGTGAAAATGGCTGCCAGCCTTCCATTTCCAAACCCCACAGCTGTGCTGTCGGTATCTTCAGCAGATTAGATCGCTCCTGAAACTGGATGTACTGTTTTTTAAAACACTGAATTTGGCTCTTTTGAAAAAGAGAATGTGGATTTTTGTTGTTGTTCTCACTTTAGTAACCTTAAGATCTCTAAAGTTATTTTGGAAATAATTAATCTTATTTTCTTTGAACTACGTAACACATTTGGCCATTTTATTCTGAATATCATATGTATTGCTAGTATTTTCAAAGTAATGAGATGCATTGGATCCATAGGTCCTTTTCCCACAAGCTGGCTTTAGCTCATCTTCCTTGAACTACTGAATAGTAGTCATAAACAGTAAATAGTGATCTGAATTTATTTCTTGATGCCCATTATTGCAGAGAGACAAGGTCTTAAATACTGTTTTGCAAGGAGAGACAGCACAGACCCTCTGCCGTTCTAAAATCCTACTCGTGCTTTTAAGTTAGATCTTTGATGCTGTATGATGGCCATGATGGCCATCAGCTTGCAAATGGATTTTGTTTTATGTCATTTAAGATAGCAAGGATGTTGTTTGTAACTGCATCCATTATGTATGAAAATAACTAGAAAATACGCTGGGCCAAATCCAGAAGTTGCTTTTGGGGGAAGAGAAGAAAAAACGATACTTTAGGATAACTGACGTTTTAAAACAGACTTCAGATTTGTCTTGGGCTACATCTAATGATCATTACTGCTTTTATGAGGGCTTAACTTTCACCTTTTTTTAGTGTTGAAAAGGATTTATTTTTTCTTCCTTTGAGCATTTCCTTCCTTTACCTTAGTTTTGCTATTCATATTATGTGGCCTTGGTACTTGCCAGGTGACGTGTATACAATAAGCCTCTGTGCATTTCCCTTCCTCTGTCACCCTAATCAGTTCAAGCAGAGGTTTGACTTTCGCTCTCATGTGTGAGAAAGTTACGGCAGACTGGGGGTCAGCTAACACACGTTAGCTAATCCTTACCCAGCCTCTTGCTCATTCTAAATTGGACAAAACCAGGGGACCAAATTATTCAGTCTTACTCGAGCCAAAATCCCAGCGAGGCCAACTAAGCCTTGAAAAAGTGTGGGAGGTTGCGGTACTTTGCTCCTGAGTTGCGTCTGTGGTAGAAAGGTGTTTCACTAATTAGGAGAAAAGGAATCCAAAGCCCAGTTGTTTATTTACCCGAGCCTTGATGCCGGCACTGCGTTCCTCATATTCTGCTGTTCCTGCCTATGGGCTTGTTTTACTGAAATTGTGTTGTTATTTTTTTTTCCCTCTCTTCTTTCCCCCTAGACTGGCAGATAGCTACTCTTGCTTTGCTGTTGGGTGGTGCTGCCATCATTCTCATAGCTTTCCTGGTTGGGTTGATCTCTATCTGCGTGGGATCTCGGAGGCGGTTCTACAGACCAGTTGCAGTCATGCTCTTTGCTGCAGGTAAGCAGATTACTGGCACCATTATGAAAATTTCATGAGAGCATCTTCACTTTTGTGAAGGAGGACGTGCCTTGTTCTGCATACTAATTCAAAGGCTTTTGGTTTACTTCTGTTAACTGCAGTGAGGTTTTTCAGAATACCAGTTCTGCACGGCATTAATCGTTTTTGCAGTTGCGCTGTTATTGGTTCATAAACAATTATTTATTTCCATTATATTTATTGTTTTGTGAAGTACCTGTAGCAGGGGCAACTACAGAGGATAAATCTCAAAGTACTATTTTTAGGCTGTGACTTTGTGCTGCTTGATGTCCCCATTTTTATTCTTCATACAAAGCCATTTCTGTTATTGTAATGTTCTTGCTTTTACAATTTTAAAACACGATAATTAACGCTCAAATGTGAACCCTTGAAGCCCTACATGTGAAAATAAATAGGATTATGTTGCAAGGTGTTTGTGTATGCCTCCGTGCCATGAGGAATTCATTTCATTGTGTCAGCTTGCTTACTTAGTTATTAATTTTACAAGCTGTCACAGTGCAGTCCCTGTTCGGTTTTAAAAACATGAAAATGGAACAGTTTATATAGACTATCACAAAATCTTAAGAGAGACCAATGAATCTGGATTGTCTCTGAGACTGGTCCAGTGAGGTATAATTACAATTATCAAATCATCTCCTTTTGTACGTTCTGGTGTTTTGGGGCTTAGTCAGCACGGATGTGTCTGTTTCTCCTGAGACTTGCCAAGCACGGTTTGCCTTCATCCTGTCACTCATATCTGCATTGGAACCAGCAACTTAAGCCCTTTCAGATAGCCTGTAATGAAGAGGATGACAGAACCTAGTCTTCGGGATGTATTAAAAGAGGCACTTACAAGGATATGGAAAGATAAGGGCGCAGAATTTGCAGGGTGTTCAGGAATGAAGCAAACCTCCGGGGAAGGCTCCTGCTGCCCCCTGCTGTTAACGATACCTTGATTGAGCCGCAGCGCTTTTAGGATGCACTTTTATTTGCTCGAGAAATATTGGTAGGTTATTTTTCATCTGCTTTTAGGAAATGAATGCAACCTAGGATCAGATTTCCCGAGCGGAAATCATATCTTTTTGTTCTGTGCGTCGCATTGCCTGCTTGGTTGAATGAATAAAGGCACCGGTGTTGTTATTTTAAAATTTAGTATTAATTCTGAGATTATAAAGCATGCTGGGTAGTTAACTTTGGAAATCGGATTATTGAATTTCTGTAGTGGTTTCTTATTTGGATTTTGACTTCATTTCTTGTAACATTGTGTCGTAACTTAGTAATTGTTCAGCCATACACTGCCTATCTTGCCATATTGCTCATTCAGTATATAGTTAAGTTTGTACTAAAAGTAAAGGAAAGCAAAAAAAAAAATACTGCTGTTTGGCTTAATGCTTAATCTATTTTCCTTTGCATAAAATTAGTTTTAGTCTTTACTGCAAAAGTTAGGGGGAAGAGAGATTCAAAGCTTACTTGTGTCAAAAAAGGAAAATACCCTGATGCTTCAGCTCATGAGTGGTGTCCACTTCCTTCCTTTGCCTCTCTGTGTGTGTATATGCACATGCATTTTCAATAGCCATGACCTGAAGCACATAAGAAGAAAGATGATGAGGCCAAGACAGCCTGCCCCATTCTTCTTCATTATCTTGCAAATCTGAGGAGAATCCTTTTGGGACTTAGTGCTGACATTGTTAATGTCATTTCCTACAGATATTATCTCTGATGTCAGATATTTTTAGAGGTGAATATGGACTGGCATATCTTGAAATAATTATGGAAAGAGTCCTCTACTGAAGAGGGGGAAGTTAAGATTGCAGCACAGTGGAGTTTGTGCCTTATGCAACTGTCCATGGATTCAAACCTTCACCTGTGGATTTCGCAGAAGATCTTTGAGGATAAAACCTGCCCCAGCCTGTGAATCTGCTGACAAGACCAAGTATTCTGTATGACTCTGCTTAGGAGTCCACCAGCTGCCTCTGGAAGAAGGACACAGGATGAATTGCCCAGAGACATTTAATGATCTGTGTGAGTGTCAGGCAGAAAACGTCGCTGTGTGGGAGAAAATGGAAAAGTGGTTTCCAGGCACTTCAGAGTCAGAATAGTTGGCGCCAGGTGTTTTTTTTCTTCTACTTTTGATTTATTTTTATTTATCCTTCTTTTTTTCTCAGCTTCAGGTTTCAGTTAGCAACTCTGTAGGTGAGGAAGAAGATTGACTGTCTGGAACTGGAAGACAGGAGAAAGCAAAGGGACAAAAAATAATTCAACCTAGAAACTGAGAATAAGCCAGTGAGTGATCAACAGATGTGAATGTGTTTAAAATGCATACTGTCAGCTCTGTGCGATGGGGAGAGGAACAGAAATGCCTTGGGTAATGGAAAACCATGGAGCATACAGAGAGGCAGTTCTTTTCCCAGCATTTTTGGTCTAGTAGAGGTGTTACTAGCTTACATACTTGCTGGGGCGTCTTAGTGCTCGTGAACCAAACTGGCCCTGACAGCTGCATCCTCAAAGTACAAGCTCACAAACTTGTCAATGTAGGAGTCTCACGATATCGTTACCAGATATCTGGGTGCTAACTGAGTCATAACTTAGGGGTAGAAAGAAGAAGAGTAATTGTTGAAAGTTCATGAAATCAAATAAAAAAAGTAATTTAAAAGGTGTTTGCCTTCTGGGCTTATGTTTTAACAATGTTTAGAACAATAACCTGGTGAGGTTAGTAAGCTTTTAACACATTTCACAGGATACTTTTACATGTAAGCTAGGGAAACAGTGGCTAAGTGAAAGTATTATAGGTGAGAGAGTAAAAAAAAAAAAAAATGATGGCAGGTAATATTTGGAGACTGCTTAGAGGATGTATCTTTCCATTCTGACAGAGAATCAAAGCACAGTCCAGATGGATTGGGCCCTGAGTTCCGTGCTATTACCTATTTTCATAATGATGTGGAAGATAGAATAAAAGTCTACTTGTCAGATATTACAATGAGGCTAGAAAAAATTGCAGATACAGTGGGGGACAAAATTTGATTTTGAGAAATTGATAGAATGGTCAGGAAAAGTAGGACTGACTTCAGTAGTCAGTTGCTACACGGCAGCAAAAAGAGTCATAGCGTCAAAGAGATATTGATAGGAAAGATACTCTGTAGGTCATGTAGTCCAAACTTGTTGGGACAGGAAAGTCGCTAACACCAGATCAATCAGCTGCAGGTTTGTCTGGACCAGTCCTGAAGAACTCCAAGAATGAAGATTTCACAACCTCTCCAAGCATGTCGTTGTGATGCCATGCTACCCTCCTTATGGTATTTCTTTCTTTCCTGATGTCCATCCTAAATTTCTGAAACTGAGATTTGTGTCCATTACCATTATCTTAAATTGCCTGGCACTACAAAGAAGAGGGTTGGGTTTTTTTTCTGTCATTGTTGCAGCAACATTTCCAAGTAACTGTAGGCTGGTTTGAAATTGCTCCTTGGCCACCTCTTTCTGACTCTAAAGAAACCTTGCTCCCTCATCCTCCTCTTAAGGATGTTTTGCTTCAGGATTCTGATTGTCTTGGCAGCTCTTCAGACCTTTGTCCTTAGTTGGTGGATCTGTGTTCACTACTGATTGCTGCTTTGTTCTGCATGTGCTTGGAGGTGGACTCCAAGAGGATGTCCTCCATAATGTTTCCAGGGATTGAGTTGAGGCTGACCAGCTTATAATTCTGTGGATTTTTCACTTCTAGCCTTTTTAAAGATGGATGCATCATTAACCTTTTTCCATTCATCTGAATATCTCCTGATCACTGTGGTTTCTCATAGATGATAGAGGGCTCAAAATCACATTGGCCAACTCTTTCCTCGCTCTTAGGTCAATCTCATCTGTCCCCATCGATATGGATGCAACTCTAAGTCATCTTTAACTTGTTCCTGCACTGCTGATACCCTTGCAAACCATGTCACTTAGGGGTTTTGGAGAAAGTGTTGCAGTGCATCATCTGTCACATAGATTGGATTTCTTGTCCATCACTGTATAAATATGTTTTCTGAACTTCATTTTGCAACTAATACACCTGTGGAAATCCTTCTCTATTACTCTTTTTGCCATTTCCCAGCTCACTGTTGGGCTCCAGCTGGGCTTCAAACTTCCTGATTTTGTATCCAAGTATGAAAACTGTGCTTTTATACTTCCCTCTCATTGTCTGTCCTTGTTTCCTGCTCACATGTGTCCCTTTCTTGCACATTCATTGAGAAACTCCCTGTTTGACCAACTGGCCCTCCTGCTGAAGTTCCTTGCCTTCCTGTGTAGCAGGGTGGTCTGTTCTTGAGCTAGCAATATTTTAAAAACCAGATTGGACTCCCTTTCTCTTCGTGCTGCTTCCCAATTAATTGCACAGGTTGTATTAAGTACAAAAAACTTCCCAGTTAGCAGTTGCATGTGTGTCGGTCTTTGAAACTGCAACACCCGTTGGTTATTAATGAAGAGCATTGCTCATGTGGATGAGCAGGAGGAAAGGTGTAGAGAACAGAAATACAGAACTTACTAGCCAGCACCACCTTATTAATAAGTATGGACCAATTAGAAAGCCATGTTATATGTTTTTCTGGACAGCAAAACTGTTATAGTCAAACACTTAAGGGAAAAAAGATTATATTTTCCTAATTTTAAAGTGTTCATTGTGATTTTTTTGCATGTTTAATATAGTGAGTACATATAATTGCATATATTTCATGTAAATGGAACAAAACTAGTATTCCTGTTCCTGTGCAATTGTCTTACAAGCATCACAGTGCTAGTCGTGAAAACAGGTCTAAACTTGAAGTGAATAGTCTAGTTTGAGATGACTAGTCTTTTTTGAGTAGCATTTTGAAGGGGAGGGGTTTTTTTAAGATTTCTTTTGCAGCCTTTTTTTCTACAGAAAAAGGCTAACACTTCTCAAGACAAGTAGTACATACGCTTCCCATAAGCAGGTCAAAATAGCATGAAGTTCCTTTAAATTCATTGGAAGCAGGTCAGTAGTTGCAAGCGTTGGTTGTAACATCTTTTTGGGTCATACTGGTCATTCTCCGTAACCTCACTAACTGTTGTTTCTAGCCTGCACAGGTCCCTTCCCACCTTACAGGGAGCAACAACAGTGCAAAGCGACGGTAGTGTTGTGCAGTGGGGTTGTTTTCACTGGCCAGTTGCTGCCAGCACTTCCTTTGAGTTTTCCAGTAGCACAGCTGGGCCAGTAGTAGCAAAAGCAGGAACCCTCACTATAAAAATGTCTAAAATACCTGTTGTGGGTGTTGCTCTTTTAGCCACGTGTTCCTCTTCTGACAGAATCACTGTTTTGTTTTGTTTTGACAAGTCCAATTTGTAGATTAAAATTCAGCATCTTTCATATGTTAGGTTGAGGGAAGGTGAAGAGTTTTCTTGGTTGGCACTTGACATGCACACAACAGAGTAATTCCTGTTCTGGCTCAGCAGAGATGCTGCAGCCCCGGTTTGGGAAGTCACTGAAGAACTTGCTTATATCCATTCATCTTAGGAAATCCTTTTTGACTTTGAATAGTCTTAAAGGTATGTCTGAAAGCTGAGCATATGTTCAGGTATTTTTGAGTATAATGATGCTCTCATTATACAGAATTGGAATGCATAATCTTTTCCTTAGTGTAGGCGCTTCCCCTAGTGTACCCTGTCAAAATTTCTCCAGTGTTGCGCAGTAGTTTGTGAGCTGGCAGACAAAAATTATATTAAAATGGAATAACACAAAGCAACACTTCAATAATTTTAGGATTAAAAAAAATCCTGTGGATTTCAGTATTCACATCAGAAAATCCACTATCCAAATGTTATTCAGATTGTCAGTCTCAAGTAAGAGTCCAAAGGCTAGGCTGTAGGCTAAGTGGACGGGGAGGGGGGGAAGAAATATCTGATGACTGTTTTGTGAAGTGTTATCACCAAGGATGTTTAATGAGCATTGGAAATCATTTCCCCGTACCAGTCCCCGTCCAGAGGACAGGAGAGCGTTAGTCTCCAGGGCTAATGAAAAATGCCAACACTAGAGAGTGCGTTTGGGACTGAAACGGCAAATGAGAGATTTTCGGTGTGCAAAGTGTTCAAGCAGGAGGAGAATATAATTAATGTTATTTTATTTTCCTGTGATTTTTCAGTGAAATTTCAGAAGGACTTCTGTAGTCCAAAGAGGTCTTCCTTTCTATTATCCACTGGCATTTTATATTGGTGCTGGCTTTATAACAATTCTCTAAATAGTGTTCGTTCTTCTTGTGATACTTAATAAAGTGTAAACAATGACTCGGTCAATGTTGAAGAAAGTAGTTATTATGGCATTACATTGCATACCACTGAACTTTCACCGGCGTATGTCTCAGCAAATGCTTAAGCATGTGCTGAATGCTGTGGATGTGCCCACCGCGACCACAATCCGGGAGCTGGGGTTGCTCGCAGAGGCAGTCGCGTGCTGAAGTCTTTAAAAATCGCTAGTGTAAAATGCTGGAAGGGAGCACTGCGTTAAGGCCATATCATATATTTGAGGGGCAAAAAGAGTGTTTTGTACATTCCTGCAATGTTTTTTTTCTTTTGTGGGTGGCAGAACTAGAGGCCTGAAGAATCACTAAATCGTACAGCTTGTTCTTGTCTTCAAACCAAGTGTAATTTTCACCTGCTTACCTTGGAAACTGTTGTCCCAGTTTTCCGTTAACTGTGTGCCTGAATTTAAAAGAGAACGGATACCAATGAAACTGAAATCTTCTTGTGAAAATTGGGGTTCTTCATCTGTGTATTTTCCTTTTCAGGTTACTGTATGTGGGTTTTTTTTGATGTAGCACAATAATTAACAAGTCTGCTGAATTCCACTGCAGACGTGTGGATCAGGCTGCAGGAGATCTGGCTCTCTCAGAGACAGTGCTGTAGAAAGTAATGGTTTTTAAGCTTTTTCCTGCCTTGGATTTGATCTCTTTTACTAGCTTTTTCTTTTTTTTTCATCATGAAGCATTTCTGACCCACCCCCTAAATTCATAATACAAGGCAATGTTTTTCCAGTTGGAAGTTTAGTGACTGATCAAACTTTAGTATAGATTCCTTGGTATTCTGTGTAACAATATCATTAATTCTGATTATAGTACACAACAATGCATATGAAATATGTAATTCAGTGAGTCTCTACTGAACATAAATATGTATCACCTACTACAATGAATTATTGCTAGGCTATTAAATGATTTGATTCTGAGCCATATTTCTTAATGCTCATTTATTCTTGCTTCTCATTTTGACTTATTTACAACAGTTATAGAGCAAGTGATCTTAGTTTTGTTATTATGGAAGGAATAATGACTATAAACTAAAATACAAAGGAGAGACAGAAAAGAATTGGAAAAGATTGCTTTCACTGTTTATTTCGTGGACACCTGAAGGATCATTGTTATACCATATCAATAACATTTTTTCATCAACGAGGGAATATGGAAGAACTGCTCTGTTCCCTGTCCGTGAAATGAAGGTGATGTTTTTTCAAAAAGAGCAGTATTTACAAGCTAAAAAGACACCAAGAGCATTTTAAATGTGAATTTCAGTTATGTGTTGTTTTCCTTGTTTTATGGAAATTAATTAAGACTTCTTCTGACATTTGTGTTGTTTTTTTCTCTTTCAGTTGTTCTTCAGGTGTGCAGCTTAGTCCTTTACCCAATCAAGTTCATTGAAACGGTCAGCTTGAAAATATACCACGAGTTCAACTGGGGCTATGGCCTGGCTTGGGGCGCAACTATATTTTCATTTGGGGGTGCCATCCTTTATTGCCTGAACCCTAAGAATTATGAAGACTATTACTAGAGTCGTTTAATGGGAAGAAAAACAACAAAAGGATTACCCCATCTTTTCTAACTCACAGTTTTTTTAGAACACTTGTGGAGCACCAAACAGTCTGCTCTGTTGATAAAATAGCCTTTGCCTTTTGGGTGTGAACACTGTAACCAGCTTTTACAACCATTTAAAAGAACTGCAAACACTAGGGTTGCTGATCTTACATAGGCAGATGCTGCAAGCTGCTGATACATAAGCTTCATCTTTCCTGACAACAAGCAAAAGGATCTACGTGACAGCGATCATTGTGAGAAAACTAGTTGGAATGAGAATGCAACGCCAGCATCTGCTATTGCCTTCAGGGGAGCAGCTGGTATAGGCTCCATTTAGAAGTTTCCCTGTATCATAGAGGATTCGGATGTCGGATAAGCAGGCAATGGCGTCTTGTACAATAGGCTGTGTTGGCCCCTTGTTACTTGCTCAGAAAAGCTCTTAAGGAATTAGTTGCAAGTGACTGTGTTGAGGGCAGTGAATGTAACTGGTTAATGACTTGTCTAATATCTGCATTCAACAGTCTTCTGGGAGAATAATAATAAATAACAAAAACCAAGCCACCAACCACACAGGATTTCATGAATTGGTAATCGACATCACCATGCCAGCTGTAGAAGATTGTTGAAGGAAGTCCAAACCCGGAGACATGTGCTTCTGACTCTGTAGTTGGAAGTCGTCTCAGCTCCGAGTATTTTGCTGGGAGGGTGGAGATAAGGGGGAGCAGAAAAAGACCTCCTCTGTCCCTGAGGCATCTAAAATGCATGAATAAATTGCAGTTGTCCTAAGTACCCATTTAACTTCATGAAAAGGATACATATGGAACAAGTTCAGTTATATTTTTGAAAGGTATTTGTTAGTATAAATGAATATATAGAGAACAAATATAAATGCAGAGGGAGAGAGCCGATTTCGTCTTAAAATTGTAATATGAGATGTGATGCAGTGGTTAAAATACTAACTTTGTACACATTCTTGAGAGTCTTGGATTGGTACCCCCAATTTTGGCTGCTGTTACAAAATAAACATAAAATGGTTTGTCTTCTGTATATGCCCTTGTACAGACTCTGTGTTATGGGAAATGCTTAAAAGTTCACATCAACTTAAGGTAGAACTGGACAAAATAACTATTTGTTATTCCATGTGTAGTCTAGTAATTACTAAAAATTGTTTTCTAAGGCTGTTGTAATGAGAAAACTGCCATTTTTAAAAATCTAGTTAGGTTGCAAGTGTCTCTGATCATCAAGAATACAGCTGAGACCCCATCATGTCCATCTTAAAGCATTAGCACTGCAGGAGGTAATCTCTTGTTCATAAAAGCTGAGTTTGTAATGGACTGGCTGATGATTATGTACATCTAATTACTCCTTACTTAGTATGTTTCCCACTTAGAGCATCCAGAGACTGTACACATGAAATGAAACCCAAGATAAAATAGGGAGAACTTTTCCATGAATTTAATCCGCATCACTTTTATTTTTGTTTATAATTTGCCTATTTGGATATTTTCAATTAATTATGAACATATTTTTATACAATTCTAATCTTTAGAAATAACTATTTTTTTTAACGGAGAAATTTAAAATATATTCTATGTGGACCTCTGCAAAAGCAGGTACGCTGGGGTTGCACATCCACCTCTATACAAATGGTTTTGCTGGTACCATGGAAAAGACTGCTGAATTACTCGATGTTAAGACCGCATCTCCAGTGTTAATGCCTGTGCCACCGTTCACGGGGCGCAGAGGTTCTGCAATGACCGTGGGACCTCAGGGCTGCCTTTAGGAGGCAGTTGTGAAAAGTATTGCTGACGTACGGAGATGACTTATAAAACTCTGGGGCTCTCAAGTTAAATCTTTACTACTGTGGCAGAATATTCCGTATCGGCAGTCTTTCCAGGACCAGTGGTGATTAATTAGATTAGATGGAGCAAAATGATAGCTTGACTTGGAAGGGATTGTATGGCAATGCCTGGAGAACAAAAAGGATGGGAGGAAAAATCATGTCTACTTGTTTCGCAGGCGCCAGAGAGCATTTGTAATTCTGTTTTTTTTCCTGAGACTGGCTTAAGGCGGATATTCAGTATATAGTTAACTCTGTATCTTTCTGAACAGCTGTGTAGTTCTGCTTTTATTTAGCAGCATGGAGAACATTGTAGTTTGGCATGGGAATTAGGTTAACGTAGAGAAGCCCACTGTGAGAAGATTGCTGTACCTTTCTAGGAGAACAGTGTTTTGGTGCTGGCATTGCGCGGCACTTTGCCTGTGCTGACAAGAAAGTACAGTGCTCAACCCATATCATATCTACTAATTTATCAAGTAATTTTTCTTTGTGTAGAGTTTGAGCAAAAACAAATGTCAGGCCTAAGGCATATGCAAATTAATGGCACACACTCTGAAAGTCACCCGGCTCTTAATATGAAAGATATTCAGGCAAAAAAATCTACAAACGTGAATGCCTAAAGACAAGGTTCTTCATTCATATTTGAGTCAGAGATCTGATTTTCAGTCTCAACCCCTGCTTTTCCTCTTGAAGATAATGCAATCTATTAGGACACACCTCTCAAACTCCTCAGGTCCTTTATGTTTGGGCATCTAGTGTATGGGTTTAGGTACCTACCTTTACCTTATGTTGCTACTGCCATTTCTTATTTTTCCCTTTACCATTGCCAGTTTCGGCAAGCATTCTGTTTCTCAGCACTGAACTAAAAGTAAATACAACATTATGCTGATTTTTTTGCTAGCCACAAAAAGGATACATATCTGTGTCTTGACTGTACGTACGACAAATTAACCATTTTGTATGTTGTGCTTGTGTCATGCCACCATTATTCCAGTTGTTTGGTTTTATCTCACTGGCAGGATGTTTCTCTCACACAACAAATCCTTTTTTTTTTCTTCCAAATATATATGAATAAATATATATATATAGCAAACTTGCAAGCAGGGCTAGTTATTTGTATTTTTTAAGCTTAAAGTATACCGTCCGGTGCTGACAAGTACCTAGCACCTCTTCTGGATTTCTTGCACAACTTCGTTTAGCTTTTGTAAATTTTAAAAACAAATATAGAGACACCTATGTGTTTGAAATATAAATGATATATATGGATTAGCATGTAACTGTATATTATTAAACATGCAATGAACTGGCTGGTAAGTGAAGTCTAATCTTATGGCTAGCAATGTAATTTATTCAGACTGTATTTTTGTACAGAGCAGTGCACACTAACCTATTGCCTCTGTGTCCTCTATAATGCCTAAAACTGTGCCTAGAAATTTCATTTCTGTCTTTAAAGGAAAAAAAAAAAAGACAACTAAATGCTTCATGTTGTTGATGTTTTTTCTGATGTTGTTCTTTATTTATTTTCGAGAAGTGTATGGTATGTTTATTAAATGAATCCATCAAAATATGGTTTGTTTTATATGGTCATTGTTAGCAGGGAAAACCACGTTATTTTTTTTTTTAATCAAGACTTTTAAGTTTGCCGTTTTAATACCATTTCTGCATTTCACGATTTTTGTAGCTTACATGAAATTATATGTGAAAAAGTAACTGAAATAAAAAAAAAAAAATAATTGTTACACTAACCGAATGTGCCTGTTTTGCTCCAAGTGGAATATATACGTGCACAGCTGAAACTGGCCGTAGTTTTCTGTTGGGCAGGCTGAGAAGGAACAGTCTTCTTAGGCTGATGAACGTGACTGGTATTCAGTTACCATGCTAAAGGAGTCTTATCAAAATACACAGGGGGAGAGATGGAGAGGTGCAGGATCTTGCTGATGTAACCCCTCCCTCTCACCCGGCTGTAGAGCGAGTAGCACAGGGTAGGTGTCTGGGTGTCATAGAACCCATACTGCCTTTCTAAAAATGCAAGTGTTGTCACATCAGAAAACCAAATTGCTTTTAATGTGGTAACTAACAAGGCCATGTATTGAAATGGGAATCTATACTGAGCACCTTGTTCCAGTGGGGGAATTTATTCATTATATACAGGTTTCTTTTTCGTGTTTCCAGTAACTAATACTGTTTTCCACTTTGATTCTGAAAACTGTGTTACTTTTCACCCTGAAAAAAAAACAGATACTGTTTTTTAACCTGAAACACGGTGTTGCAAAAAAAATGGAAAAGCATGTTTAGAGATGTGATACTGTGTTGTTTCGACTGTTCGGTAAGGTACCATCATCTTCAGCACGTGAGTGAGCGGCAGCGTGAAGAAGAGGCTTCCAGCAGAAAGCGATGGGAGAATCGAGGGGAGAAGCCTTGGCTTCCATGGGCTATCACAGTGAGCGAGTACAGCGCGAGGGTGGAGTGCGCGGAGTGGAAATCAAATAATGGAAAAGGAATTCAGAGCAGGGAGTGAGTGTGATGGGCGGCGGGGGGGGGATGGGAGGGTGTCTGAAGGTATGTTTTCTTTTGGACTGTGAGTACAATGAGGGAGGAAGTTCATAGGGAACTACGAACCCGCAGGCACTGGGGAGTGAGGGAGCAAGCCAGAGGTGATGGAAGGCGTGTTTCTTGAAATCTGCATTAAAATTCTCGGTGTAGTGGGTGTGGCTTTAGGGGGCATATTGTCCAAGAGTTTGACCTGGGCTTAATGCCCAAATTTTAAGTGATATGTGTGCCTATGTGTTGGCACAAGGTCAGGGGGCCCACTGGCTTACCAGGGGAAGGAATTCAGCATAGGGTGAGGGATGTCTTACCCAAATCTCGTCTACCCAAACATGCTGAATTATAGGAGCACTGGCTTGGTTGGCATGAGCTGGTGTGCCCTCATATACCAAAGACATCCCAGGAGTCTTGACAGTCTTGAGTCACAGACAGTCACAACATGTTTGGAATCCACTATAGAAGTAGGCCTGCATGCTGCTGCTGGACCAGATGGAGAGTGGATGGGGCTTTGAGGAACCTAGTTTAGTGGAAGGTGTCCCTGCCCATGGCAGGGGGGGTGGGACTAGATGATCTTTAAGGTTCCTTCCAAC